GAAATAGACACAACTCTAGTGACACATCCTTTGTTTACATCCTGTATGAACTACCATAACACACTGTGTGGGACTGCCTTTGAAAACTGTAGGTGGTCCAGAATACTGCAGCCAAGGCCAATAACAAGGATTCTCTTTCAAAGACACTGGTTACGGACTGTTTCTGGCTACATGTCAAAGGTTATAACCTATAAAGTTATGTGTGACTTGGACCAGATTATTTAAAGGATCACATTATCCAATACAAGCTTGCCTTTATGATATTTGAGGATGGTCTTTCTTTAAGTTCCACTGCCATCAGAGGCATGTTTAGTGTTATTAGAATAGAATAACTGCTCTCAGGCTCTAGAACTTCCCATTTTTCTATTTGTTGTCCTAGTTAGGCACACATTTGGCATCAGTAGCTGTTTATTTCTTTCATTGCTGCATACTTGTTTGTACTTTTTATTTTTATATATTTTTAAATTAAGAAATAATGTTGCAAATCTGGATGTATTACTGTATTGAGTGTGGAAAGGCAAGATATTAATTTAATGAATACATTTTGAATTTTGATTTTATTCTTCTTTAAAGCAGGGTACACACTTCAGTTTACGTTCCACTTTACTGCTTTTTTTATTGGAGTTGGGCCATTATGAACAAATAGTACAAAAAGTGTCATATTTGTATACCAATGAAGTGTTTAAAATTGCAAAAGACTCTTATTTAACCAGATCTTAATTTGAACCAGAGTTCATTAGGCTTTGGCCACAAAATGCGTTTCAGTACCCGAGCTCAGCTTTAAAAAGTGTAACCAAAATAAAAAAAGGTTGGGTATTTGAGTATGTAGGACGTGAATTTTCCTCACAATAAATAGGCAGAAGTAGCAAGAGAGTACTAGAGCTCAATTAACTCAGAGGAAATGACTTCTAGAATGAACTCACTACCCAGTTTTCAAAGAAGTAGCCATGTTAGTCTGTTGCAGCATAAACGGGGGGGGGGGGGAGAGAGAAATCTAGCAGCATTTTTAGGACTGATTTATATTTTAGCATGAGCTTTTGTTGACATCAATCCATTTCTTTAGAAGCAACAGAGAGTTAGATTAAAGCCTCCTGTTATTAAACATACCTATACAGTTAGGGGAATACTATTGCTTTCACACATCAATATTAACTACTGTAAAGATAGAATTCAAAGACAACCTGCAACATCATTATGCAAAGGAATCTAAGTAGACTCAAGTCTACAAAGTCTTATGTTACCAGCTTTTCTTTTTCTTTTAGTCTCAAAGGTGCTACAAGATCCCTTTGCAAACAACTATAATGTTTTGACTATCACCTCACACAGGCTTCTGAAGATTTAGGGTGAGGATGACAATTTGTCTCTTTCTAGATCCTAATACAGTCACTCCCACAACTGTATAAATATACTTGATAACCTGAGCCTTTAATATCACTCTGTGTTGCATCTAAAGAAGTGGAATAGTATCCATGATAAAATATAAGTCAAGATAGTTTTAAAAGTTGATTCTACCCCTCTCCCTTCCCCTCTATTTAAGAGAGAGGTTCAGTACTGCAATATGCTCTTTCTTGTTGTTGGGTGCCTTCAAGTCCTTTCTGATTTGTGGGTTTTTAAAGCAAGATTTGTTCAGAGGAGGTTTGCCATTGCCTTCTTCTGAGGCTGAGAGAGTGTGACTTGCCCAAGGTCACCCAGTGGGTTTTATGGTCAAGCTGGGAAATCAAACCCTGGTTTCCAGAGTCCATTCAAGCCAATAAATATTGAAGTACAGATTTTTCTAACTTAATCGAGCAAGCTTCATATTCCCCTATGCTTTTTTCCATCCCAGGATGACCAGATGTCATAACCACAATAGAAGATAAGGTTTTTTTTTTCACCCTTGTTGTTTATTATTACTCTAGAGGTATACTTAACAATAAGATAAGGAGTGACCCTGATATAGAAGGGATAAGAATAAAAGGTTATAACTTCAAAATCAAAGCCTTCACTGACGATCTTGTTTGTTTTTTGCAAAATCCTTTAAAGAATATAAAACTGTTAACAACATTACAGGGATCCAGTAAAATATCTGGTTTCAAAATTAATAACGACAAAACATCTCTGTTATTGAAAAACTTATCTTTAACAAGATAAAAAGATCTCAAAGAAAAAACAGGATTTAAAGTAGTGGGGAAAGTAAGATATTTAGGTATCTATCTAACAGAGAAACATGGATTTATTTCAGAATAATTATGAGAAGTTGTGGGAGGATTTAAGGAGAGACATGGAAAATTGGTCAAAAATACATTTATCATTACTGGGTAGAGTAGCTGTCATCAAAATGAATATTCTTCCAAAATTCATATACCTGTTTCAAAATCTACCTATTATAATCAATGAAAAATGTTTTGAAAAATGACAAAAAGAACTTTCTAGCTTTCTATGGGAAGGGAAGAGAGCTAGAATTAGATGGAAAGTCTTAACAAATGAGAAAATTAAGGGAGGATGTGCTTTACCCAATCTTAAATTGATGACACCCAACTTTACTTCTCTATGTCTCCGACTGATGCAGTGACTAAGGATGGCATCCCTCCTCTTGATGCCTGTTTTGAATTGGTAATGGGCTGGATGAGGGAAAACAAACTCAAGCTGAATCCAGAGAAAACAGAGGTACTCGTGATAGGTACCCCAAGTCCAGGAAAGGAGTTTTGCCATCCAGTCCTGGATGGGGTAATACTTCCCCTAAAGGACAAAGTACACAGTTTGGGAGTACTCCTGGATTCATCTTTACAGTTGTCATCTCAAGTGGATGCGATGGCCAGGAGTGCTTGGTACCAACTTCGGTTGATATGCCAACTGCGTCCCTACCTGGACCAAAAGGACCTTGAAACAGTAGTACTTGCCCTGGTAATCTCTCGTTTGGATTTCTGTAATGCGCTCTACATGGGGCTACCTCTGTACCAAGTTCGGAAGCTCCAATGGGTTCAAAATGCAGCAGCCAGATTGGTCACTGGAACATCTAGATCAGA